CTAGCCTTGGAGACACTCAGAGAGATCTCATCTGTCAAACCGCCAGTACTAAGACAACTCCCACGAAAAATGAATTTGTCGACCATTTCCAACGGATACCCCGAAAGGATGAGAGAAGGATATGCGCTTGGCCAGTCCTGTAATAGGACCTTACACTTAGAAGGGGCAAAGCTCAACGCAAATTGGGCGGCGGACATCTCCAATCTGAACAGCACATGCTGGGCGGCTTGGGATGACTCGCAAATCACAGCGATGTCATTGGCGTACTCTAAGTCCCGAAGGCGGTCACGAGGGAGCAGTTCAACACCGCAGGATTCAGAGTTATCTAGAGCAGTATCCAGCATCTCGTCCATGGCGAAGTTGAACAAGAATGGAAAGGCTGGACCACCCTGTCTAACACCGCTAGTGATACCAAAAGGGGGCGAAATTTCTCCGTATGCTCGCACGTGACCCGAAGTTTGATGGTGAATAGCACAGAGAATGCTGATGTACTTCTCAGGTGCTCCCCTATTCAGTAAGCAATCCCAAAGAGCCACTCTGTCAACAGAGTCAAAAGCGGCTTGAATATTCAAGAATATAACTATAATTAGTCGACTGAATGTATGGCCATGTTCAACTATCTGGCGGATCGTAACGATGTGATCGACTCAACCGCCGCCCGGGCGAAATCCAGCTTGTTGTTCACGCAGGTGCTGTTCCCGTACGCAACTGAGTCTCCGTAAGAGTAGCGCAGCGAGCAGTTTGGATGCGACACAAATGAGACTGACAATGGTTGGAGCAAATGGTCCGGTTTACTTTTTGGGAAACAGACACAACATGAGCTAAATTCCAGTCGGATGGAACGTTCTCAGTTGTCTAAATCTGATGGAATAGAGATGTCAGTTCGCGAGTGAGAGCAGGACCACCATATTTAAAAAGAGCAGGAGGAAGTTCATCTGGGCCAGGTGACTTGTGGCGCTTTAGTAGGCGAAGCTCATTGGAAACCTCAGCCTCTGTCGGTGGAGAAATATCCACGCACCAGGGAGTGCTGTGAACCCCGGAAGATAGACATGGTTGCGCTGCTGACTAGTTGAATTGATCTTCAAAGTGCTCCGCCCATCGTACCAGACGACGGTGAATTAGTTCAACATCATTTTCAGGCAAAACCTCATTCACTATTGGTATTCTTCGTTGAAGTGCCGCCTGCTGAAAGACTAGTTGATCTTGAGTACGCGGACGATATCATCTTGATGCTGGGGTATCGCAATTGTCCCTGAATAACTTCTCCAGAGTGATCGCATCACTTGGCATGCGCCTCGCACCTTCAAAGTGCGAAGTGCTGCTGCAGGGCCACCAGTCACTTGATGATCCCTTGACCCTAGATAGTAAGGAATTCGAGGTAGTTGATCAATTCACCTACCTTGGTAGCGTTATCAGCAACAATGGGCGAATAGCAACTGAAGTCAGTTCACGTATTGCAAAAGCCAGAACTGCCTACTTTAATCTACGACATCTCTGGAAACCGAAAGCCGTTTCTCGCCGTCTAAAAGGCTGTGTATACTGTGCCACAGTGTGGGCCGTCGTACCCTTTGAAAGCGAGACTTGGCCCCTTCGGTCTGAAGATTTGAGACGTGTTCAAGTTGTCTACGATGCATTGCTGGTGTCGGTTGGCACCAGCGTGTTCGCAACGATGATATGCGTAGGCGAGTGCTAGGTAATGATACTTAAGCTAGTTCCTTATAACAACAGATAGCACTGAATAACTTGCGTTGGTTTAGGCACGTACTACGTAGGCCCGATCACCGTTTACCACGGAGATCCTTGTTTCGTCTGCCAGAGGTAGGGTGGCGCAAAGCTCGATGTGGGCAAAAATTGACTTGGCAGCGAGAGATGAAGTCACTGAGGACTAAATTGAGCGCTGTTTGTCCGTCTCGCCTTCCGGGCTGAAGTTCACATGACTCGCCTTGTGCTTGGTTCGAGACTTTACAGGATATGGCTCGCAGTGGACACGAGTGACGCGTCTGCTGCCGTCTCCTAGTCGGACTGCCTGATTAAAGTGTGTTTGGTGCCGAAGTAACTTCGGGCCAATGGCTGATTATGATGCGGGGCAGTGAAAGACACAAGGAAGCTGTCTTGCCGATGACGCCTTATCTTTCCGAGATGTTTGTGATGGCGTTGTTGACAATGTTGACTCTGAGTGATCGCTAAGATCATTAAAGTTCCCCTTCTCACTCTTTTATTATTCATCGTTCCGTAGGCCGTTATGGTTGTATGGCAGCGAAGGATCAGTTCAAATAGCTTATGTACTGCTATTATTGATGATAATATCAATATGTATTACGTTAGGTTCTTCATACACCCACCGACTACATGCTGGAATGCGCGATTGGTTAACGCTGCGTATGACTGAGTAAAGGCCTAGGGTAACTGGTTGATAGGCAAAAGTTTGAAAATCAAACGATGCTGACTGTAGGACGGGCGCGACATTGCTTACCATGCTGTCAGTCTAGGCAGGAAGCGCAGTGATGGCTTTCCCTTTGATCCGTGTATTTTATTGGCCGAAGAGTTTCTGCTGAATCTATGTTGCCACGTGGATTGACCGGTGCATAGTGAAAAGTATCAGTAACGACAGAGAACCATCATACGAAGCAGATATGCCAAAATGACTTTAACCGCCGTATGCATCCACCTGAAGGATGACATTTTTCATATAATTGGGATCACTTCGAGATCGATGGAAACTTCGTTCATCACCACTCGCCAAAAGGGCGGCGCAAAACAAAAGATTGACAATTACGGACCAATCCATCACGCTTTGTAATCGCGAGATTATTCGGAAAATTGGTAAAAAGGGCGCGACGGATTTCATCGACTCACTGGAGCTGATAAACAAGCACTAACATGGTTTCCTTGACAAGCGATCATGCACAAGCCGCCAGCTGCATTACTTGAACTACATAGCAGACTCCATTGATTAAAAATACGCAATCTGAATTCTATTCCTGGGAGTGGAGGAGGCATTTGATGGAGTGCCTTACAGACGCTTACTGATAAAGATAGCTTCATTTGGAGTCCAGGAGCAACAACTTGGTTGGCTATCTTCATACTTGAACGGTCGCTCTCAAACAGCCAGCTGCGTCCAATTACCAGCGGGGTTAAACAATGAAGTGTGGTCGGTCCACTACGTTCCCTGCTTTATATCAAGGACATCAATTTGGTTGTCAAACTTAGCGTGCCATTCTTATTTACCGATAACATATAAATTGTCTACAAGTTCCGAAGATTATTTTCAGTAGGTACTACTACGTATGTAGGATGATATTCATTCCCTTCAGACGTGGTGCGACAAGTGGATGATGAAGTTCTCCGAGCAAAAACAAGCATCGTGTCGCAGCTGTTTGGTATCCGAAGCATCTATCCCACTTAACAGTGAATGCATCTGTGTACAACGGGAAACACGCGACTCCGGAATCAAATAGTACTGTACCTTTAACTTTTCCGAAGAGATTGAGTACCAGATAGCACAAGCCAGAAAATCCGTGGCTAATATATCTTATAAGGTACACACAGTCTCAGCCAGGGTTGAACTATTCGAAATCCTTACTCATCCCATCCAGCAGTATTGCAGCATAATCAGTAGCGACACGAGAAAATCTGACAGAACAGCGATCGAAAGCTTGCAAAGGTTATTCACTAAACACCTATCAGGCAAAACTTCTGTGAATAACTATCGATCCGCTTTGGCTATGAAGACGAAAACATAACCTAATACTGCTGTACAAGCTGATTCATGACAATGCCTATTGCCAACCATGTATGTCGCCATTTGCTGAAACCTAGCCACAACACGCAGCCCAGGGGTAAGTGCCTGAAATTGAAAGAACAATATGGCCGTCTAGAGTGTCGACGGAATCACTTTTCTCTTTAGATTTGCCAAACCCTGGAACGCACTCCCAGATTCGGTTGTATCCTCCTCTACTTTGGATATTTTCAAAAAAAGATTGGATGTTGTTCTTAGCGCCCAACACCGTTACCTAAATTACGCCAATCATGCCTTTCTACAGAATGTATGTATCACATGGACCCAAGAAAACGTCGCATAAAAGAGAGCGACCATATTTTACTTTTCTCACGCCTTACATCAACGACTACTGCATCCTTACACTTGATTTTTAGTTGTCACTGACGTGATTTATCAACGCATTCATCTCCGTGGACGCTCAGTAGATGACATATATATTTTGATTACATCGTTTTCACCCCAACCATCCAACGGGAAGTGTCAAGCACTTGTTTTTTCCTGTGATAAATCATTAACATTGCAGCACAGTTCCACACGGGACCTACGTAACAGAGTTTACCTTGGTTATACCACGATGCAGGACAAATTTGCGGTTTAACTTTTCTCAAACCAGATATGCTCCTCTGTGGAATCGCCTCACAATCACAAGCAGGTCGTGTGAGACTGTGCAATCATTTCGCAGTATGCTGAGAAGCTACCTCGACCTGGATACCCCTGCGACATTTTGTAAGTGGGGAAGATCACTTGTAAATCCATTTAATGAAAGCCCAGATAATGGGGGTAATAACACAAGTTTACGCAATGTAATTAGCCCACTGTGTTTACAACATATGTAGACTACAAAGGTGCGCCCTACCTTCGCATAAAACACAAGAATAGGGGACACATATCTTGCCAGGCACACAGACAAATATAAGAACATATCTTCATTTCGCCCATGCAAGAGCCTGACATTACGCGTACACATAGATCTGTGCGAAGTATGGGCACAGCTTCGCACTCGACGAGAAATATACCGATTATTATTATTAGCACTATTATGATTATTACAGATGTGATCAATTAGACTATGTTTGGCAACATAGTAAAGGGTAAAATTGCTTCTGGAGAAGGAAAGCAGTATTCCTTCTACGAAACTGGGGTATGTGTATGACAGCAAACTCAATGAGAACTGGTAATTGATATCGGGTATAATAGAATAGGCAGACGTTAAACTCACTAAACATAGTCATTTGCACAGCTTTTGGAGGTTTTTCCAGAATTCTTGGGGCACAGTAACATTGCGTATAACCGGGCAGCAGTAGTGCAGCACAACAATGCCAATCCAGCGTAGGAGACAACCGATACGAGTGACAAGCACGACAAGCTTATTAATCCGGTTAACACAACAACCATGAAAATCCCTGTTTTCAAAGGATCATTCCAGAGGATAAGTTTCTCTGAAAAATAAAAACAGTTGTCAAAAAACATCCATCAGACAAGCTGAATGGCGAAGGCAGAATTTTGAGACTTTCATTGTGACATGTATAACTTGGTGGTACAACTTTGAAATATTTGGCGAGCCGTCTCGCGATTTCGATGACAAAAAGTCGCACTTTAAAGTATTGTTCAGACTTCGTTCAGAGAATATCGCACTCGGTATATCTTCAACGACCCAGTGAAACTTAAGTCATGGAGGGCGTATTAAAGTGAATTCAATAGGGCCTTATATTTCACACGATTTCTGTGCGAGTGGTGATATCTAAGTGCCTGGACTGCGGTAAATGCGTCACCTCTCGTTTAACGATAGTACAGCGTACAATATGACGGATGGCTACACACATCTACTTGCAATATTGAGAAGAACTACCTCTACGAATGTGTTCAGCGCACTATTTCCCAAGCCATTAGCATCCATTGTGATTCATGTCAAGCAGGAGCTAGTAACAAACGTCTTTTGGCAAAAATGCACTCAGGCAACAACAACAGCAACAACAGTAGACCAGCCATTTGAGCTGGCGCTTTGCTGTCGCACAACCAAGATGTCCTAAGGAATGAAGAATAATAAGCGGAAGTAGGATCTAGAGTAAAAATTTTCAGGACCAAGGTTCATACACGTTGTCAACAACATACGGTCGCAAACAGCTAGTTATGGTGCAAAGACGACATCGGCTAAACACCACCCTTGCGGCTTTCACTGCCCCGTTTTCTAAACAGCCAATACCCCGCGGAGAACTCAGCACCAAACATACTTTAAAAACAAGTAATCCAACTAGGAGACGACAGCAAAATTGCCACTGGTGCCGCCTACTAGGCAAGTCCTGTAACATCACGAGACAAGCACAAGGTGAGTCACGTGGACTGCAGCCTGGAAGGCGAGACGGACAAACACCGCTCAGTTTAGGCGTCAGTGACTGCATTTCCCGCAGACAAGTCGACCTTTATCCACATCGAGCACTGCGCCACCATGCATCTATCAATCAAAACAAAATACTCCTCTGTAAACGGTGACCGGGCATACGTAGTATGTGCCCAAGCCAACACAACTTATTCAGTGCTGTCTGTTGTTCTAAAGAACTACCTTTTATAATTGCTTAGCACTCGCTTACGTACATCGTTGTGATAGAAAATAAATAAATGGTACCATCCAAAGCCAGTAATGTTCCACATCCAAGGTCGGTCAAAAATTTAGAAACGCCTCAGATCGGACGGAATTCCCTCTGACTCAAGAAATGTCAAGGTTCAAAAAGGCAGTTCTAGTTTCTGTAATGGCCTAACTAACTTCGACGGTCGCGCGCCTATCAATGTCGATGCAGCTACCAAAGTAAGTGAATTACATCGAGGCTCTCGCTATCGGGGATAACGGGTTCATCAAGTGGCTGATGGTCCTACAACCACACCTCGAACTTAAAAGGTGCGAAGCGCGTGCCACATGATGGAACCAGTCTAGACAGGCTATTCAAGGTTGACTGTGCCAACACAACAGCGATAAAAAGTAAGGCAGTATTGTCCCCATAACCATGATCAATTACTTTTGCACTAGGTAACACATCAACGTCCGCAGCGTGAAATTCTGAAAGGAAACATTTCATGATGGAACCCACGAGAAGGTTGAACGAAAATGGGGAAATTCGACTACAATGATGAACGCTACCTGTTGTCAGAAAGACATCCGATAAGTCCCCGTAGACGCTGACGCGGCATGTGGTGTTCGACTACAGCGCAAATAAAGCATCCCCTTACTGCGGAAGTATTTCAAACAGAATGGATCGATCTAGTGGGCAAAACGCACTCTGGGAGTCGAGGAACACAATTGTTGTTAGTCTGCGGTAAGGCAAAGGCAGAACGTCGGCAAACTGTACCGTAGCTTTGCTGCCACGCGACTACCACCGGCTGCGCGTGGGTTGGTGTTACAACTCGGTGCGTGCGAAATTACAAATCTTAGTAAAATGCAGTATCCGGCTCGTAGCGCAAGACAGCAGAACACGTTTGTTTCGGCAGTACGCAAAATGTATTGTATCGAGTCTCAAACACAACACTTTGCGCAATTTAAATCAGTTCAATTAATGATTGGTTATAAATAAATAAATGGTATATCCTCGGTAAAACGAGGCACACCGGTGAAGGAATGATCAAATATGCACACGAGCATAACTGCTTTAAAATAGTAAAACCTTTCGTTTCAAGGAAAGGTATAACCGAAATGTTCGTATTTCATACGAGTGACCATTTTGTCAGATAATAGTCCGACGCAGGAAAAATCAATCATAAGTATTGTATCAATATTCAAGTTCGGCGTGATTTCGCCATGTGGTTATCCATGAGCACAGGAGCCAAAGTAAGAATTCGGTGCAATCGGTGTCCATTAAAAGCTCGGAATGTTCGGTGTTCCATCAAAGCATTCTCCATGGCAAAATCGGTTGCACAGGTTGCCTGTAGAAATCCGATGACAGCGCCAATGTGAAATGGTGGGTTGTGACTTTATTCAGTGGCGAGTCACATCCGCCACGTCGCAGTGTTGTTAATCGGACACTTGCGACTTTTTATAGGGAGAACGGTTGCAAGACGAAAACCCACCACGTCCTGAAAACCCATCACGTTTGGTGTTAAGTTGGCACGTACTGACACCGGCGAGTCCAGCCAATAGAAAGCAAGTGAACTCGGTTTGTACAGATGTGTCCCACTCCTCCTCGCTTTAGTTGGAACAATCTCAGCTAACCTGGTATAGATCGATTGGTCGGCGTACTCGGTCTGAGCGGCGACATTGCGAACGTCTTCCAACTCAGTGAGCGGGATCCTCGGTGTGTCGACTGGAAGAATCGAAATAGAGCGGGAACAGACAGTCTGCGCCGAATAACTACCCAGCCATCTAGTAGGACCACTTCCGCAGTTTGTTTTGTAACGTTGCGCAGATCTTCAGTCTGTTAGTGCATTTCATTAATCAACCTGACATAAACCGTTACGTTCTCATAGCTGTCGATCGACTGCCCTCCAGTTATGCTTGGCCTTAGACTTATCTTGTTTGGCTTCGACACAAAGCCTCTGGGCAATGGCGAACATGGGAGGCGCTACTCCCATAAATGCAATTTTATAATTCTTTTTACATTATCTGTTCTTGCATTCTTGTTGTATTATATTTGTCAACATGTTGAGCACTCTGCCAACTGTACTGTTGGTCGTGTGCATATATTATATATATATATATATATATATGGTTGGAGGCATCCGGTTTGCCTGTCACTGTGGCCAGTCACAGGACGCCTGCGCCTACAGAGGGACCACGGATGGCTTGCGCTGCCCCACCAACAGCTCCATCCATATCCAGTGTAAACCCGAAATAATAAGACCGGGAGGCATGCGGATGGGAGCCACGTTTCATCAACGGAGTCGGCCCACACTCCTTCATAGGCAAACACAAGCACGCTGTATTTTGGAATCAAGCGCACACAAGGCGGTGGCTGGACCGTAGTCCGCTCCACACTCAGTGCATGGAACCACTCTTCGAGCCTAGCACGACCACAATGAATGTGCACCCCGTCCCCTCCACCAACGACCAACTGTCTCCTGGAGCCAGATGGACGAGGTAGTGGGTAATAGACAGGTAGGCACCTTGTCAACATGCACATCAAGCGCAGTCACACCTGGGATGTCGAACAACAGCCAATCAGTCGAAATGTCGATATCACATAAAAGATATCGAATAAAGTAAATGTATATGACAACATAAATACTCGCTAAGTGAGCATATGGAAGAAATTGGTTATAGGTGAATCCGCGATAGGTACAAAATGTCCGAAAGTTAGTTAAAAAATACCACGTGATTAAGTTACGCAAGTTTACCAGAATTAGCATGAGCGACGTGTGCAAGTTAGGAGAAGATTATCAGGTACGCAGAACAAAGCAAATAAAGTGGAATGAATTTTATCCACATAAAAAGACGTAGTTAGAGTGTAAGTTGGTTTAGCCCAACTGCGGTGAAGAAGCATCAAGAATGCAACATCAGCCTGAACATGGGGTATATATATATATATATCCCCCTACGAATTAAAAATACCCGGCTAGATGTTGAAACGAGCTTTGCATAAAAAAGCAGTAGCAAAAGCTTTCAAAGGTATGACCAAATCAGGAATACGGTCCGCCTTTTTGACAGTTCGAAGTAGTTCCGGCATGCGTTTCAACCAATTCCTCCCAAGTAGGCTTAGATGGTCAGTGTTAAGTATGATCAAGGGAAGAGTCAACATATCGCCTTCATGAGTTAGTCCCACACAACACACCCAATATATCGTGTGCTTCTCCCGTGTAAAAACGTAACGTAGACTGAGTTGATATCAGAACCAGTTCAGGTAATGTTCGCTTGTTGAGGAAGGTGGCTGATGCTTCGCTGTCGATTTCCAAAAGCACAAGCGTGGACTCTGACCGTGCGCTTGTATGTGTCGATCACCGAGTACGTGTCAGCGGACGTCCGCGACAACGCTATGTGCATAAACATCTGCCAACTGGCGAAGCCATATGTTCTGGACGCGTACCAAAGTACGCTAGCATAGGAACTGAGTAAACGCTCACTGAACACAATTGATAACCACTGATCGCATGTTCGCCATACCTCATTAGCAGCGGTTATCTTCATGTAGCAAATCAAATTCCCCGCCCAAGTAACTGGCTTCTACGCAGTCTCTGGAAACCATCGATGCACCCCGACACATTCCTAATGTGAGTGAACACGAGGATCGAAAAGACATCAGGGGAAAACTACGTGCCAGCCTGAAGAGAGACAACGAAGCCTGGCGATCTCACCGTGCACCGAAGATGGAAACATCCGCTGCACTTGATATTCATCGGAAATTACTGTCTGATACGGGAACTGGGCAGCAGCGGGCATGAAGTTAGCGAAACTATATGCAATGGGAGTGAACAGCTCATCCACAGCCTGTCAAAATGCCTGGAGTGGTTGGACTGAA